CGGAGAAAACAGTTGGCATTAGTTTTTTTGGGATTGGCTAACTTCACTTAGCATCAACRCCACCCATTTACCTGCAAATGCCATGATTTTATTCTCTCTTATTGCTGAGTAATATTCCATTGTGTATATATGCCACATTTTTCTTAATCCATTCATCTACTGAAGGGTATTTAGGTTGGTTCCACAGTTCAGCTATTGTGAATTGTGCTGCTATAAACTTTGATGTGGCTGTGTCCCTGTAGTATGCTGTTTCTAAGTCCTTTGGGTATAGAATGAGGAGAGGGATAGCTGGGTCAAATGGTGGTTGCATTCTCAGATTTCCAAGGAATCTCCATACTGCTTTCCATATTGGCTGCAACATTTACAGTCCCACCAGCAGTGTATGAGTGTGCCTTTTYCCCCCGCATCCTTGCCAACACTTTTGGTTGTTTGTCTTCATAATAACTGCCATTCTGACTGGAGTGAGATGGTATCTTAGAGTAGTTTTGATTTGCATCTCTAATTGCTAGAGATGATAGACATTTTTCATATATTTGTTGATTGATTGAATAACCTCTTCTGAGAAGTGTCTGTTCATGTCTTTGGCCATTTATTGATTTGGTTTTTTTTTGTGTTTAGCTTTTTGAGTTCTTTATATACCCTAGAGATAAGTGCCCTATCTGATGTGTGAGGGGTAAAGATTTGCTTTTACTCCCAAGATGTAGTCTCTTTATTCACCTCACAGATTGTTTCTTTTGCTGAAAAGACACTTTTTATTTGGGTCCATCCCATTTATTGATTCTTGGTTTTAATTCTTGCACTCTAGGAGTTTTATTAAGGAAGTTGGGGCCTAATACTACATGATGGAGATTAGGGCCTACTTTTTCTTCTATTAGACGCAGGGTCTCTGGCTGTATTCCTAAGTCCTTGATCCATTTCCCACTCTAACTTCTAAAGAATCCTTTTGGCGTGTGAGGTTATTTCACAGGAATATTGTATTTGGCTTAAAGTCATTTCTAAATGGTGCTATTTGCCTACCCGTGTAAATGCAGTTCAAATTGTGGTTTGAGTTAGTCTTCAGTTTTTAAAGAGAAAATTCAGAATCTCTGATGGGAGGAGAGTAAATGTTCCTGGAGAAAAAGAGGTGCCTCTGGAGACCTTGGAAGTGGGTGGTTGCCTTTTTCTAGCCTCTCAGTTAACACATTTCTTTCAACCCTTTTCCCTAAATTCTGACTTTGTTCTTTTTCTGGACACAAATATCAAAATACATTTAAACTATTCCTTGAATTTGAAAAGCCTTTTGCATTCTGTGTCACATTAGCTCAGGAACTAACCACATATTTTAATAATGGTTTAAGAAATTTTATTCTTGAGATTTTGGCCTTAAATTACATTTTGATTTTCTAACTTATTTTGCTAAAATTGTGTACATCAAAATCTACTCAGAATCTGATACTTTGTATCAGAATCTGTTCCATGAATTTTACTCTGAAAATGTCTGTCATTCATTTTTGTTTGTTTACTTGAGATGGGTCTCTCCATCTCCTTGTTGTTCAGGCTGGCTTCCAAATCCTGGGTTCAAGGGATCCTCCTGTCTCAGCCTTCTAAGTAACTGACACTGTGAGCATGCACCACCATACCCAGTTCATTTTTTTTTTCTCTTAAAAAAGAGAATAGTGTAGTTTTATATTCAGGTTATGATCTAATAAAATACTGTTCAATAGAAATAGACTGTGAACCACACATAATTTTTAAGTCTTTAGTGACTACATTAAATCAATAAAAATATACAGATTTAAATAATTTTGATAAATATGACCCAGTATACCCAAATTATTATCATTTTGACAAATAATTGGCATAAAATTATTAGTTATAGAGAAAGTTAGCTAGGAGAAGGGAAATTTCAGAGAAGAACAGGGCGATGAAGTTTGACCTCTGTTTCTCTGCTCCCTCTCTTTACCGGTGGGGAGGAGCAGAGGAGAACAGATGAGAAGACCCTGCCCATCTTCACTCAGGCTCCTTCTGCAGCTTGTGGGTGGGATGGTTAAGTCAGAACAGTAATGAGGCTAACTTACTTATTTGCTCTTCTTCCTCTGAAGAGTCAAGAGTTCTCTTCCCATTCAGAATGTAGTGTTAGAGCCAAGCACAATGGCACACGCCTGTAATCCCAGCACCACAGGAAGGAGAGGTAGGAGGATCACAAATTCAAGCCAGCCTGGGCAACTTAGTGAGAACCTGTCTCAAAATAAAAAGGGCTGGGGAATGCACCTCAGTGGTAAAGTAACTCTAGGCTTAAGCTCCAGTATCAGAAATAACAATGAGAATAATAATAATAAAAAAAAAGTAGTGCAAGAAAAGGCCCCAAAAGCAATCACATGCTCATAGAATTCATACACAGATAAAGGATCTAAAATAAAATGTTGCCCAGATTGGCAATTTATACTTTAATAAAGAGTACTTTCTTCCCTTTCTCCTTTCCCCCTTTTAAATCCAAGTTTAAATTCCTTGGAAAGATGGGAAAGGAGAAGTTTATAGTAGATTTTCCAAACACAAACCTTGCTTTTATAATATGGTTATGGCAACCGCCTCCACTTTGATAAAGTTAGCCTATTTACATGAATGGTATGGTATTTTGCAATTTGGAAAAACCACAAACTGTTGCAGACAGTTAAACTGGTATTTTATATTTGTATTTAGTATTGTTAAATGAGAATTTTAGGCTTTGTATAGGACAGAATGAAAGCATAACACAGCCAGACCTAATCTATAAGGCCAGAGAAAGCTTCTTGAGGAAGTGAGTTGCGAACTGCAATATGAAGGGTAAGCAGGAGTTAATAGGCAGTACTGATGGAAAAGAGCTTTCCAGGCAGAAGAAAAAATGTGTAGAAATGAGCCAGGAATATACCATACATTTATGGTCAGTTGATTTTTGAGAGCGTGTTTGGAGGTTCTAGCAGGGGAGCTCAGCTACTCTATACCCTTGACCAAAGAATGGTCCTCTTCAACTGAACACACAGCTTCAGGAAGGATGCACGGGGAGTAGTGAGGGGGGAAGGGACAACCTAGCCAGCCAGATCAGCCCTGGTGATCAATGTGGGTGATAGATGTTGTGGCCAGATTGCCCTCACATCCAAGGTAAGTTGATTTTTGAAAAGGGTGCCAAAAAGGATAGTGTTTTTTTTTTTTTTTTTTTCACCATGTGGTCTTGGGTCAATTGGATATTCCTGAAGAAAACAATGAAGTTAGACCCTTGACCTCCTGCTGCCAGGTTTCTGTTCTCGTGACTAAAAGGCCCAGGGGTCACTCCAGGAAAACTGGGCTAACTGGGCTGCATGAAATAACCACACAAGAGACACAAATACCTTTTTCTTTGGGGTCCCTGTGTCGGCTCCTCTGACCTTAAGGGTCCGCACGAAGAGAGAGAGAGAGAGAGCACGTGCTGACCCCTTTTATTGAGGAGAAGCTATTCAAATGAGGCAAGGGGCCAGGTTTCAGGGGGCTGAGTCTATCTTCATGATGTCCACTGTCAGCAGGTTGACTGACACCTGGGTGGGCCACACCCAAGGGCACAGTAAGAGAAGGGGACACACACAAGGCATTTCCATGGAAGATTCTACCCTAAACAGGGCAAGGGGTTATATTACAAAGGAACAGGTGAGCGTAGCTTCACCCATGGGGCTGTAGCAAGACACACCCATGCACGAGACACTGACCCTCTAACCCAAGAAGGGTAGGGGAAGCTCTGCCACATTTTTCTGGCTGAGCGCCTCAGCACCCAGCTGGGAAGTGTGACTCAGTAAGGTTGGTCTCCCACACCTGCCTCTTTACAAAAATGAATTTGAATATGGATCAAGACCTAAATTTTAAAATCAAACTGTAAAACTCTTTAAGACAGAAGTAAGTCTTCATGGTCTGGATAAGGAATACTATCTTAGCACGAGCAACAAAATAAATAAATTGGACTTCATCAAAATTAAAACCTTTGGTGTTCAAAGGATACCATTAACAAAGAGAAGTAACTCATACATGAGGAAAAAAATTTTTGCAAGTCATGTATCTGATAAGGGAACTTATATACAGCTACTGCTGGGAAAATGCATAAGTCGATAGAGTAGGTTTGTGAAAAGAGGTCAGAGACTAGTGATTGGATGTGTTTCCTGATTTGCAAAGTAGAGCTCTATTGTTACAAAGTGGTCTCCTCTTCATTTCTTTCAAAATGAAAACATGTAATCTTCCTTTCAATTAGTAAGCATCTCTTTCAACTCACACTATCCACTTTCGAAGTAACAGGTATAAACTCCATGTTCAACTGCAAATTTCTTAGTCCAGGAATCCTTGGCCCTGTGTTATGATTAGCATGTGCCTCACGTGTGGTAGGCAGACACTCTACCACTGAGTTACAACCCCAGCCCAGATTTTGCTTACTTTTTAAATAAGAATTTAAAAATAGTCCAAGCATCCTTCTAAATCAGTCATAAACTGTTGTAATAGTCTGAATTGTATTTTATGATTTCCTTACCCTTGAATACTTTGCCCTGTTCTATCAACTGTGTCTTGAGCCAAAGACTTAGTTGTGCAGAACTCTTACTCAACTCACCAAAACCAGAATCCAGCCAGGAAAATAGAAAAATGAAAATATGAAATTGATCTTTCTATTTCCTCCTATTAAATAAGAGTTGCTCTGGAAATGTTTTGTGCAAGGAAATAGTGATGAAAATTTCTTTGATATTAAGTTTCTAGAGGATGGAAATCTTTTGTGAGTTTAAAAAAATTTTTTAAGGAATCAGATATTTAATTGGGGGAAACCATATGGAATAATGCATTCCCAGGCTTCTTGCTTATTTCCTAGAGAGCCTGGATTCCTGAACCACAGATGAGATGGAGGTAATTGAATATTCCCAATTAGAATAGGGTGTATTTTCAAAGTTCATAATAAAGACCTTATAAGTATCATTATGTGTCTGCCCAAACTATTTTAATCAGTTAATAGCTATCTTTATTCACATATTTTAAACCAGATGAGCTCCGAAAAGAAATGCTGGACGATGCCCAAAAGAAATTGACGAATTTGGTAAACAGCACAGAAGGAAAAGTGGACAAGTAAGCTTTTGCCTTTTAACGTTTGTATATTTTATAGAGATTGCTTTTATGGTAAAAACAACTTATAAATGTAGATCTTTATAATATGACTAGATTTTAAGAAGTCTTTTCTTTTTCTCATATGATGAGATGAGTGAGATAGTTTGGTTTTTTTTTTTTTTTTTTTTGAAACATGACACTTTTTATTTGTTCAGAACACTTATTTTTAAAGTTAGCTGAGGTTAAAAATTTTCTGGTTTCCAATGTAATTTGTAACATCCAAAAGTGATAAGTTCTTTATTAAGAATTTATAACAGGGGCTGTGGATGTGGCTCAAGCGATAGCGTGTTCGCCTGGCATGTGTGCGGCCCGGGTTGGATCCTCAGCACCACATACAAACAAAGATGTTGTGTCCACTGAAAACTAAAAAATAAATATTAAAAATTTAAAAAAAAAAAAGAATTTATAACAAAACGGACCTGTAGATAGTCAGTCTTACCTGATACCCCAATAACGATATATACACTATACAATGACATCTAATCAGAACACAGTCTCCCAACCAGACATGGAAATGCAGAAATAGCAATGTTATTTTCATTTCTGTGTGTTCCAGATTTTAGATCATAGAATCTAAAAATTCACATAAATTTTGAATTGTTTTTTCATGTCTGATAAAGACTTTTCTCTAAGAAATTTTTTAATCTTATAAAAAATTTTATACTCTTTTCTTTGAAATATGAGAAAGATATGAAATCTCCTGAGTTATAAGTGCAGTTTATACATTCTTTTAAAAAGTTATTCTTAAATACCACAAATTAATTATATATCCATAATACATGTCTTTTCTAGTCACATAATTTTTAAATAATATTCAAGTATGTTGTGCTTCTGCATGTTTACATTACTTTATAAGCTACTTTTACCTTTCAATAAAATTTTATCTACACAGATTTCTCAAATATTTAATAAATGAGACAAAACAATCATTATGAAAATATAAACTGCAACTACATATTTTTCATCTTTCATTTTGTCTTTTTCCTATCTACCAAGTAATTTCCTGTTCCTTAGGGAGGCTGGTAGACTTTTATCTTTCAAATCTCAGCTCTGCTGCCCTCTCAGCCTGGTGTAGAGTCAATACATCTCAGTGGTCTTGAACACACAGCATTCACTCTGCCATATCAAGTGTTGCAGTGCCATCTGATAGCATTGGTAGCCACTATTTCTTGTTATTTCAACTGCAGAACACCTTATTAGCTGCTTCCAAGGAATTTATTAGATTCTGCAGCTCTTCTTTACTCATTTCAACCAAATATGGTTTTACTTCACCATTTTCTTTTACATCTAGATGAAGGTTTAAGAGTGGCATTTGTAAAGTAGCAATCTTGTCACTAGAAAGTACAAGCTTTAACTGCCAATCAAAATCCTGTAACTGTGCAGAAGAAATATCAACTATTTCCTTTAAAAGAACTTGCTTGATTTCATCTTTCCTACTTTTCAAGCATTTCATGATAGCTTCTTGATGAGATGAATTCAAATGATTCAATTGCTGAAGTGTCTCTTCATTGGATAAATTTTTACCAACTAGAGCTTTAAAAATTTTGGTAACATTTTCTAAAACATTCATCCATTGAAGTAGCTGCACGCCCAGCTGGGGGGAGGGGGGTGCAGCTTCTGCAGCCCCCACAAAGACGTCCCCTCTTCCGGCTCCATCCCTGGGCGAAGAGTAAGGTAGTTTTAATGAGGGTCAATATAACTTGCCTCCTTTTTTTTTTTTTTTTTAAGTACATTTTCCCCAACGTTCTTTTTCTTTTCTTTTTTTTTTTCCTATTTTTTTCAATTGGTTATTCAAAACATTACAAAGATTGCGGAATCACATTGGTTACACATCCACATTTTTACATAATGCCATAATAGTTACTGTTGTATTCTGCTACCTTTCCTATCCTCTACTATCCCCCCTCCCCTCCCCTCCCCTCCCATCTTCTCTCTCTACCCCATCTACTGTAATTCAT